AAAAAAAAAAGAGCATCTTTTTTATCTTTAATTTCACTTGACAAGTTTTGGGTGGGGGTGCAGAGCATGGGGTGTGATCATGGCGTCTTTCACTGGCTTGATTAACATTTGCTTTTGGAGTCATAAGAATAGCACTAGTTCTCGTCACTAGTAATGACCCTGGGGAAAGAGTCTGGGTCACCTCAGAGCTGTTCTTACAAAGCACGGCATGTTTCCAGTTGATGTGCTTTTTGCTGGTCAGTCAGAACTTGAGGTACAAAGTTTGCAGCAACCCTTCTCATTCCCAAATCTTTCATTAAAATAAGCTTAACTGAGCGCCAAAATGGTCCAGATAATATCCCCGCCTCTTCAATGGTCTGTGGCCGGTCTTCGAGCATAGTCCATGGATTTTTGTTGACATTTTCATCTGTTCAGGAAGTTGATGGACATCTATAACAAGGTTTGTCATCAATCGACATTTCACCTTTTTTGAAATGAGAAAACCACTCCAACACTTGAGTTTTTCCCATAAAGCCATCCTTGTAAGCTGTATTCAACATCACAACAATTTCTGGGGCATTTTTCCCCAGCAGGAAACAAAATTTCACAGCCTCATTCTGTTCTTGAATTGGCCATCACAAAAAAAATGAAGTTTGAGTGAAACTGCTTTTACGAAAAAAAAAAAATCACTGTGACACAAGAGAACCTTCCTTGGTGATGCCACGGGGTGCACTAACTCAGAGCAAGTTGCTTGATACTTGCCTAGCGGGAAAAATGCTTACTATAAAATCTCTGCCCAGCAGACTTTTTCTGTTTGGTGGGGGAGTACCCCTCATAATAATTTAAGGTTCTGAATATGTTCTGCATACTATTCTGAGCAGACAATCCCCCACCCCAGCTCCACTGGAATTACATGGGACTTGTATTAGAAACAGTGATGTTCAAACCACACACAGAATATTTACATACGCTGAATTAGGTATACAATGGACTGTGAGAACTACTGCTAAACAAAAAGCTATATTGTTTTATTCTATGTATTGGACTGCATTATTTTCTTTTTGTCATTGAGCTATTTCAAACTAAACACATTTCTCTATTTTCTTAATATAAAGGATGTATTCTACATATACTTAATACATATTCACCCATCCTACCCCTCCATCCATCCCTCCATCCATTCATCTATCTATCTATATACTGATTCACCCATTCATTTAGAAACCAACTTTTAAAATTTCCTACAAAAATTTACTAAATCAAATTCCATAAATGAAGAATTCATAAAGCTTAAAAACAAGTTGAAATATCTTTGGCTGATGTACAAACTGGAAATATAAATATGCTATTTTTGCCTCTGGATTCCTGATGTTTGAATAATCTACAAAAAACAAGAAGGTACCAATTTTTCAGGTATTCCTTTACGCCCTTCAGAAAATGTTATTGACTTTTTCCTTAGGTACTATAGGGACACTGTTGTCTACATGGTCTATATCCAGCCCCTACTTTTTCTTTATGCATTTGTACCTCCTTTATATTGTTTCAGGTAGACCTGACATCACCCTGTGCCAGAAGTCGATACATGAGTTCGGTCCTGGGCTGCTAATCACAAGTCTGTGCTTTCAGACCCACCATAGATTATGCAGAAAGTTGAGGCTGTTGGTTGTCGTTAAGATTTAAATCCTGAAAACCTTACATAGGATCACTGTGTGGGGGAATTGACTTCATCAGAGTCAATTAGAGTTGCCCTCATCATTCTAAAAACATTTGCTCTCCACTTAAGCCCTTGGTATCAGCTCCTCATTTTCCCCCTCCCTCTTGAACCCCTGATAACTTATAAATTATTATTATTTTGTCATGTCTTGCACTGTCCAAAGTCTCCCTCTCTTCACCCACTTTTCTGTTGTCCGTACCCCAGGGAGGAGGTTATATTTAAATCCTTATACTCGGTTCCCCCTTTCTATCCCACCTTCCCTCCACCCTCTGGTATTCCCACTCTCACTACTGGTCCCGAAGGGATCATCTGTCCTGGAGTCTTAAAAACTACATTGAGTCATTTATGTCTCCTGTCATAATTCAAATTTCAGATCTTTAATTCAAGGGACTATTAGCCTCATTTCAATTCTCCTTATTGTAGATGCCTTCTGCTTCCTTTCCTTCTGCATAAAAACATGAATGTTTTTCAAAGGGATTAAGCACTTCTTAGAATACATTTTTGGACTATTAAAATTCCAATGCCTCAATTTTTTTTAATCAACAAAATCACCAAATGTGAGAAGGGATGGTTTGACCATTGTATGTCTAAAGAAGAAGTTCTATTCTTAAGGAATGACAAGTCATCTTTCATCCATCTAGTATGATCCAACTCTCATTTTGTTTTGTGTAGGCACTAGATGAAATTACCTGCCAGGTTCCTTCCAGCAACAGGATTTTGTGATTTACCTTATTCATGATTTGGTCTCCTAGCTGCCTGTCATCTTCTTTTAAGCATAAGTTAAATATCACCCCAACTACACTCTGTTAGGCAGCACAAACAAAAAAAGTACTGAATAAACATGTTTCTTGTATATCAACCAAGGTGTATAAAGAAACCTATTTCCCTATTTTCTACATAAAAGCATAATGATCACTGGTGCAATATGAAAGAAAAAAAAGGATGGCATGTAAAAGTTCACCTTATGCAAAAAAATATCTTTCACTTTGTTATCTAATTACTTGTGAACTTCATGTATTCACATAATTTCTAAGTGGGTAACATCATTATACACAAGAAAATTCCTAATATGAGATTCTGTTTTTAATATTTTGTCTTTCAGCACTGATATGCAACAGTTAAATGAACTGGATGCCTCAGATATAAGTAATTTGGAATAAATTATCATTCCAATCAATAATAATTAATTGAGAATACAACAGGGAGCTAGGAAGAGACTAACACTTGGCTTTGATGAATATTTGAGCATAACATAATTAAGTAGATTATAACATCAGTGGATATTCCAGTTAAAAAATGTTTAAAAATGTCACAGAAATGCCTCCTGATCTGTAATGACACCTTACATGATGATCCCATTACATCATTACAATGTGAATGAGAAATAAATGTTAATATAGAATCTTTTCACATGAAAAACATTTTAAAAAGTCAAGGAGGTGTTATTAGTAACTCAGACTCGTAAAGTGCATAGCTATCCCCATTAGGCCAGAAATGAAATCAAAATGTTGTGCAGAGTTAAATTTCCTCTTCAAACACTTACTTAATTTATTTTTTGTCAATCTTAATTCTAGTATTGATATCCCTTCCGAAGATGATCTCACTATTTATGATAATGAGGGTTTAAATACAGTCTTCATTATATGTTCAATTGCTGTTGCTTATTTGCTACTATCAAGGAAGAAAAAAATTCCGATACAGGAACGACTTCACATTCTCTTCAGACCTGTTGTATCTCAGGGCAAGTGTAGTTATGGGCACTGGAAGATGACAGACATCCATGGAACAGCTACAGGTTTTGTTTTTAAGCTAGATGTTTTATCTCCTGTAAACATAGTCTATGAGAAATTATATTAATTTATCTACCTATACGAGTATATAGGATATGTAAGTGCAACATGCTAATCCCTTATTAGGACTGTTTTAGTCCATTTAGTCATAATAATCACAAATGTTGATCTGAGGGTAGATACAAAATAGTTAAAGGTAATAACTGAGTAACAATATCTTTTTGTAACATAGTGATTCTTATAAAACACTCAACTTGTAAAGATAGAATATTTTGTGTAAAATAGATATACTATAGTAATTAATTTAATTTAATATCACCAGTTAAATTTTGAACTGAATACAGAAACAAAAATAACTACAGTAAAGGACTTACCCCAGTTCTTTGAACTTCCATGAAAGTAGCTCTTTGGAATGACTTCTCCCAGACAGCAAGGTCACTTCCAAGTTCTACGTTAAAAAAATGACTCTTCCCATGGCCAGCCATGACACTAAAGCAATATGGCCTCTGATCTTCAAAATCGAAATCCTGAAGACCCAGATATAAATTTGCTTGTAACCAGCAATCATCCGTAAGCCAGAACTGAAAAAAAAACATGAATAAAAATATATTAGAATTAGCATATAGTGAGGAGAGTGAGAAAACCAACCACCCATTTTATAGACTGACTACTAGGAAATGAGGGGAGACAGATGTTATCTCTGCTTGGGCTGGGAAACACAACAACATGTGGCATACTTTTTGTCACATAAGAAATGGATAGGCACACAGCTCTTATAGTGTGTGTATGTACGCACACTGGTCCAAACCCCCTGTAACTGAGTCAACACCGTCTCACATCAACACTATAAAGGATTTCCACAAATACACATCTGCACTGGAGAATCCAGCTTCATCTTATTCTTCAGGAGCAGCTGGTAGGTTTGTACTTCGTTGGTTGGAAATTGATCCAGGAAGAATTATTTGTAAATAAATTATGTCTAACATCTAGTTACCTGTGTTTTTCCTTCAAATGTTAGTAATCACAGTTTTATAGCTAAATTTAGAAATAATAGGCTCATGTTCGGTATAATATCAACAAACATTAAAAACAACACCACATGAAACACCTAAAACTTTTCCTCTGCCTAAGCATACTTTTGGAATTACTAAACTCTTTCAATCTCCTGTCTTTGCCTCTTTAAACAAAGGGCATCATTCTTTGATTATCCCTTAAGTTTACAAGATATTTAGTCATATATGATTCAAATAAGTTACGTAAAGATAAGAACCAAAATAGAGTAAGTACTTTAGAGATACTGTATTTTTAAATATCATAGTTAAACAAAAAATGTTCAATTTTTGGTTAATAATTTGATCTGAAAATATAAAGTCACCACACATTTGCCCCATTATTATGGCAACTGTTAATGTGGAAACTATAGTAAAAATGTTTCTGGTGATTTTTCATGACATATGTACCGTGGTACTTTGCAAACTCATTTAAATTTTAAACTTTAAAATTCCCTTGTCTTAAAGTTGTTAGCTTTCATGGAGTTAGCTCCTGACATAATACAAATTGAAGTGCAGTGGGAAAAAAGACTGCCAGGTTTAGCTTCATTCCTAGAATTGGCTTGAGATGTCTGGACTGCAGTGATCCATCCATAGGGCTTTTATATGCTGATAAAAGCACATGGTCAGGTGTTGCTTGATGGTCTGTTTCAGTTGCAGATCTCCATAGAAACACAAGAAGATGAGACTAGGTAGCATCCAGGTAGAATCACCTGCATGAGGCTCCTGTTGTTAGATCAGAAATTTAAGGTGGCCAATATTGGGAGGCTGGGTGCAAAAATTAGATTAGGTGTACTAGGGTCTGGTTCAGATTTTCCCCTGAGATTTTTTGCCCATGGAGTTATTTGAGACTTCACTGAAACACTCTTAGGTTCACCACGAATGCCAACAGGCACTGCTGATCTCTTGCCAGGTCCAGTGGGACAACATTCACCACCCCTTCTTTCACCTAAGATCTGAAACACAAAGTTTGAAGTAGTTTCTCCAACTTGCTGTCTGTGTTAGTCTGGGTGCACTATAGAAACAAATCCAGAGACACTCATATGTGTATAAGAAAGAGAAATCTTTATATCAAAGAGCAATTGTATATTAAGAAAGAATGACAACCCAGTCCTAAGTCCATAAGCCCAATATTAGCCCACATGTCTGATACCAGTCTATAAATTCCTCTTCAGGCTCATGCAGCACATGCAATGATGCTGAATGTAGGAAGATCACAGGTGGTTCAAGGAACTTAGCGGTGGTGTGGGTCTTCATATAGTTCCTCCAGTTCCAAGATTCTGGCTGGCATCAGTGTAGCTCCATGTCTCTTGTCAGCAGGAATGTATGGCAGAGTATGTATCCTACCTCCAGTGAGCTATTTATCTCTGTAGCACCTCCAAATGAGGTCATCAAGCTGAGACCAGATTGACAGGCTAAACTTCATTCCTTCACCGTTAATAATCTCAAGTTGATACCAGATTATGTAACTACCACACTGTCTAAAGGTGGTCATAATCGCTGGCTCTCAGAGAACCTTCGAGAACTAGATATAAGACCTCACACAGGAGTTCCCCTCTCTGTTGTCCTCCCAGTTCCTGCATTCTCAGGCTTTGCATATTCCCTCCCCAGTCAGGAAGAGTGAGACTACATCTGAGATCCCTTTTCCCCCTCAACCCACCTCCAGGCTGGCAAGTGTGGGTAATGATAGATAATTAGACACTAATTTGCAGCAATTGAAGAGCCCCTGTGACATTTACCTATGACAGAAGGCAGATCCCTGGAGCACAGCAAGTAGAGCTGTGCATGAGAAAGCTGGGTGTGACACAGGAGTGCAGCCAGGGGAGAATTCAGATCCAGTCAGCCTCAAACCTACTCCGCTAATCCTGTCCTGCTTCCCTGTGGGAGAGTGTAACACAGTCCTGATACGAGGGCACACCAAAAGGCCATTATTTTAAAAAATTAAATTAAATTAAGAAATGTTTCCAATTTTAGGCTGTGTTCCTTTGTGTAACTTTGAATGTAAGCCACCAGAAACATGGTTCATAAACACAGCATTAACATAACAAGATGGACAGAACTCAGCTCCCAGATGAGTAGATCCTAAGATTTTAACATTACAAAACAGGAAAAGCCAACAGGAGCTGAAAGCAACAGACCAATCCCTAAATAGGCTCTACCAGTTTTGAGATCCACAGAGAGTCTTTGGAAGACTATAAATAGTGGCCAGACAGTCCAGACCAGACCTGTGTCCCAATTGCAGGCACTTCCCAACGTGGCCCAATGGCATACCTACAGTCTCTGGCCTCAGGCCATGCTCCAAAGCTCCCTACTGATGCTGGCCATTGAGTATGCAAAGCACCTCCCCTACACAGTAGTTTGACCTACCACCATAGTAGGCCACGCGTCATTGTAATCTCCAAAACTATTCTTACCAGTCCCACAGAGAAAAACCTCAGTCTCTCAGGAATGTGGCAACAAGTTCCTCCAAAACTTTATGTAGACAGCAACATACCTCAACACCCTCAAAAAGAAAATGAGACAAAGAAAATGCAACAGCGGTGGAAGTCCTAAACCTAATGATGCTCATAGAAACAGATATTGATCTGCCACACAAAGAAATCTTCAGAATGCTGCTTCGAGTAATACAGGGTATGAGGAAGGCAACCCAGAATAAGGACGCAATGACAGAGGAGATAAAGTCCATGATAGAGAGAATGGAGTCCATGCACCAAAGGGAAATACAAGAACTAAAAAGATTTGGCAACAGAAGCCAAAAACAAGATAACAGACCTCACCAACAGACTAAATGTGACAGAGAATTATACCAGTGATCTTGACAATCAGGCAGACTTCAACAAATGGGAAAGACTAAACTCCAGGAAGGATTCACCAAGGCACACAAGAGTTAAATTATCCAATATAGAGGAAAAGAGAAAATATTAAGAGCAATATGAGAAAAAAGGAGGTCACATACAGTGATGCTCAGGTAAGAACATGCTCAGACTTATCTTCAGATACCATGAAGAGGAGGAGAGAGTGCAATAACATCTTCTGAAAGCTGAAAGAAAAAGACAAAACAAAACAAAAAACTGGACAACCTGAAAATCCTCCATCTTGTCAAAGTATCTATTAAGAAAGACATTGAGGTAAGAGTCTTCCCAGACAAGGAAACACTGAAAAAATGTCATTAAATACCCAACCCTGCAAAAAATCCTTGCCGACTCACTGTTGTCGAAAGACCAACATCCACCAAACAGAAGCAGGAGACGACCATATAGCTCTATTCAGAAGGCAATGCATCGGAAACAAGCACCAAGATAATATTGCCTCAGAGGGAAGAGAAGACAAGAATGAAGTCCCCCACATAAAACCAGCACATATACAAATATATGAGGATGGGGAAATAGATCTATGAGCCTACATTTATAGATTTAGTATTAAGGTAGCAGAAGGACATTGGGCCTCCACTCAAGTACTCCCTCAACACAAGAATACTTTCTTCTAGTAAATTGGCATTCTATGATGCTCACCTTCCTGACACAACCGCTGAAGACAAATGGGTGCATAAGCAAATGTGGTGAAGAAAGCTGATGGTGCCCGGCTATAAAAAAGTATAGCGTCTGGGGTCTTAAAGGCTTGAAGGTAATCAAGCGGCCATCAAGCTCAGAAGCAACAAAGCCCACTTGGAAGAAGCACACCAGCCTATGCAACCACGAGGTGTCGAAGGGATCAGGTGTAAGGCATCATCAGAACAAAAAATCTTACCACAGTGAATGATGGGGGGAGTGTGGAGTGGAGATCCAAAGCCCATGAGTAGGCCACTGGAGATCCCCTTGCAGAGGGGTCTCGGGGAGGAGATGAGCCAGTCAGGGTGCGATGTAACAATGATGAGAAATACAACCTTCCTCTAGTTCCTAAAGGTTTCCTCCCCGCTCCCACTACCATGACTCGAATTCGATCTTGCAAGACTGGCTAGACCAGAGGAGGTACACTGGTACAGATAGGAACTGAAAATACAGGGAATCCAGGACGGATGAGCCCTATAGGACCAGTGGTGTGAGTGGCAAAACAGGGAGTGTAAAGGGAGAATGGGTAGGAAAGAGGGAACCGGTTACATGGAACTGTGTGTGACCTCCTCCCTGGGGGACAGACAACCGAAAAGTGGATGAAGGGAGAAGTCGGACAGGGCAAGATATGACAAAATACCCATTTATAAACTATCAAGGGCTCATGCGGGAGGGGGGAGCGGGGAGGGAGGGGAAAAATGAGGACCTAATGCCGGGGGTTTAAATGGAGAGAAAATGTTTTGAGAAACGATGTACAAATGCGCTTTACACAATTGATGTGTGTATGGATTGGGATAACAGTTGTATGAGCCCCTAATAAAATGTTAAAAAAAAACAAACGAAAAAAACAAAACAAAAAAAACCAGCACACTGATGTGAGGGAGATAGGAAAACATCCAGCACAACAGGTATGCTATGAGAGCAATGAATCCACAGATGGTGGTAACAACTCTGAATGTCAATGGCCAGAATTCTCCCGTTAAA